TAAAAATAGAGGTGGGTGGAAAAATTATGCGCTTCTTATATATCTGTGGACTATTTCACTTGTTTCAAAAATTGGAGAATTTAAAAAGTATAAAATTCTTTCTTATTCTGAAACATAGACATCTTTGCCAGAGGGCAAAAGGAGAAACTTCTGTTACTGTATCTTTTAAGCTTGGCAGGTAAAAAAAATCTGATAGAGCAAAATTCCTCAATATTGACAACTACGGACAGGTATTCCTGGGAGAACATTTTCTAAAAATCTATCACCCTTGTAACATCTGGGACAGTCACTGGGATGAAGAATTTCAGCCCAGGATTCCCAAAGAGGTGTCCTTTTGTTAGTAGAAACAGCAACACTGATTGTCCAGGTTTAAAAATGAGGCATTTCCCTCCAGGATAAGATGTTGTGGTGATAAAATTCTCTCAAAAATAAAGTGTGATTAAACTCTGTCCCTGCTTTCAACACTTCAGGGCCCAGCAGAAAAAGTCAAGCTGGGGACAATAGAAAAGGTACCATCTTCCACAACCCACAGCTCCCCAGCAATTCTGTAGCTCTGCAAAACCAAACTGCTTGCAAAGTTTTGAAGCACACCCTGCAGTTTCCAGTCTCTGTGCATCTTCCTGGAAAGTCCCATCTCACACACAAACACACACCCATGAGTGACTTCTCTTTGGCCTTCCCTTTCCCCATCTGGCAAATGCTAGTGTCTACACAATATCTATTCAGATGACACGCCCTTCTTCAAAGCAAGCCCTGGCCCTGGTCCCTGTTAAGAGTTACTGAATTCCTCTCCTCTGTGCTTCCCCATCATGATGACTACCATCTACACCACAGCAAGCAGAAATCCAGGTCATTAGATCAGGCACTGGAGCAATAGGTCTAGGTGTCAAAGCCCAGGGATTGCAGTGTGCAGAGGGGTCCAGGAAGCAGCATACTGGGAAATGTCATATCAAAAGGCACCTTTGAAAAAACCCCTCAGTACCTGAGGTCTTGCACTGGAGGTACAAGGCGGAACCCAGAGAAATTGGGGGAACCTGAAGGAATGTTCATGACTGCACCATGGTGAAGGACACCAGCTGCCTGTGGCAATGCCCAAGTGCCTGTGACTCTAGGCCTGCCTAGAGACCACACTCCTTCCTCAGGTCCCTCTCCCACCAATCTTCCCTCTTGCAGGGAAGCGAGTGTCCAGAAACTTTCTCAGACTCACACCAATCCTTATGCCATCTTGGCACTGCTGGGAGTTTAAATGTCTTCCAATAAATTCTTAGGGTGTAGAATATACTGTGTATATGGTTAAGTTTCCAACCAAAACAAGAGAAGAGGGAGTATCAAAAGTGATTAAAATGTTTTGGTAAAAGTGAAACAATTAAGTGCTTCATTATTAATAGTATAAGATACACACTTGAAGATACGTCTTCATTAAGAGTGATAGTAGGGCTGGCCGAGTGGCGCATTGGTTGGGAGTTGGCTTGGGACACCAGCTATGAGCAGCATGGCCCCAGTTCAGATCCCACATGAGGGCCAGTGACACTGCACCCTCTACAGCTAAGATGGTGAACAACAGCTCCACTTGGAGCTGGGCTGCCGTGAGCCACCGGCGACGGCATAGGCTGCAGTGGGGCTGGCTGGCAGCGGGTGTGAGCTTTCGTGAGCTGCTGTGCACCGCCATGAGTGGCCATCCAATGGCCGGCAACCGACTGCCTCACCTGGGAAGAGCGCAACGATAATACCAACATGGACCAGTGAAGCAACATCCATCACAACTAGACTGAAGAACAAAAGGACAGCAATTTGTCTGTTCCCCTTCCCCGATTCCCCAGAGCTGTTCCCCTCCCCCAACTCCCCAATAAAATCTAAAAAAAAAAAAGTGATAGTCAATCATAACAATCCAATGCTAAAACAAACAAAACACCAGGAAAAAACCTGGTGACAATAGAAATGATCATAAGATTCTCAGTTCTGGATAAAATAATATAGGCAATACCCTAAATCATTATTTCCTACAATTTTGAGAAAATTAGCATTTCAGAGAGCCCTTTATGGAAGCTGTACCAATGGCATTTTTTTAAGAAATGAAACAAAAAATCATCAGATTTGTATGAAACCACAAAAGACACCAAATAGACAAAGCAATCCTAATAAAAAAGAACAATGCTTGAAGTATCACACACCCTGACTTCAACTTGTACTACAGGGCAACAATAATCAAAACAATATGGAATTGGCAGAAAAACAGACACACGGACCAATGGAATAGAATTGAGAATCCACATAAATATGGACAGATAATTTTCAACAAAGAAGCCAAAAACATAAAATGGAGAAAAGACAGCTTCTTCAATATATGGTGCTGGGAAAATTGGAAAGCCACATGAAATTAGACTGTTATCTGTCACCGTGTACTAAAATTAATTGAAAATGGATCAAAGACCTAAACATAAGGTCTGAAACAATAAACTGCATAGAAGAAAACATAGGTACTAAACTTATGGACCTTGGGTTCAAAGAGCATTTTATGAATTTGACTTCAAAGGCAAAGGAATGAAAAGCTAAAATAAATGAATGGAACTCTATCAAACTAAAAAGCTTCTGCACAGCAAAAGAAACCATTGACAAAATAAAGAGGCAACCAACTGAATGGGAGAAGATTTTTGCAAACAATGCCTCTGATAAGGGGCTAATATCCAAAATATATAAGGAACTCATACAACTCAACAACAAAAAAACAAACAATCCAATTAAAAAATGGGCAGAGGACCTGAATAGACATTTCTCCAAAGAGGACATATAGATGGCCTATGAAAACAGACATATGAAAAAATGCTTAACAGCACTAATCATCAGAGAAATGCAAATAAAAACCACAATGAGATATCACCTCACACCAGTTAGAATGGCTATCATCAACAAGACAAATAATAACAAGTGTTGGAGAGGCTGTGGAGAAAAAGGAACCCTCATACACTGTTGGTGGGAATGCAGATTGTTGTAGCCATGGAAGGCAGTGTGGAGATTTCTCAAAAAATTAAAAATAGAATTACCATATGACCCAGCAATCCCTCTCTTGGGTATCTACCCAAAAAATATGAAAATATTTATCCATAAGGATATATGTACTCTGATGTTCATTGCAGCTTCATTTACAGTGGCCAAGACATGGAAACAACCAAAGTGTCCTTTGACAGATGATTGGATAAAGAACTGGTGGTATATATACACAATGGAATACTATTTTGCCATAAGAAAAGATGAAAATGCCACTTGCAACATCATGGATGGATCTTGCGATTATAATGCTAAGCGAAATAAGTCACACAGAAAAAGTTGAGAACCATATGATTTCAATGATATGTGGTATATAAAACGGAAAATAACAAGAAAAACAAATGAAGAAACAAAACTCATAGACACACACAATAGTTTAGTGGTTACCAGAGGGTAAGGGGCAGGGGTGGTAGATGAGGGCACAGGGGATCAAATATATGGTGATGGAAAGAGAACTGACTCTGGGTAGTGGGCACACAGGGTGATATATATATGATGTGTTACAGAATTGTACACCTGACATCTATGTAACTTTGCTAACATTGTCACCCCAATAAACTTTAATAAAAAATAAAAATTAAAAAAAAAATCCTGTGTTTATTCTCAATATAGGATCCACAGTTGAAGGAAACAATTACTTACTTATTCCTTTTACCTCCCTCCTTTTCCACCAAATGGGAAGAACTCTGGATTTCAAATACTGAAGGTGGCACGATATATATATTGAACTTGGCTCACAACCAATACTCACCCTTATTCTTCCTGAATAGTTAAAAGAGTTTGGATGATATGTGCTTCAAATACCCTGGGTATGTATTCGTAAGAATAGGTCCTGCTGTGATTAACAAAACAGTCAAAATAACAGTGGCTTGAACAAGAGAAATTGATTTCTCTCTCATGTATAAGAAGTCCAGAGACAAGCTTCCAGGGCTGTTTGGTGGCTTCCTGAGGTAACTTTTAGAGTTTTTTAAGATTGAAAATAGTTATCTAACAAAAAGAGCAGTAAATTTGCATCTACCTGACTTTGGCCCAGCAATTCTTCAAAATCTCATTTTGAAGGCTTATTTAGCCTGAGACACTTTGGAACATTGCACTGTGAGGAGCTTGGAAGTGGAAGGAAAAGTTGACTTATCTTTTCTCTCATAAAATTCAATACATCTGCCCATATAAAATCACATGGTCATTTTAGGAGCGTTACAGTTCTAATTTTATATTAACTCCACGAATTTCTCTTATTGTTAAAAATTCTTCCTTTTTTCCGAGCTGAGTAGCCGCTGAGCTGCCAACAGGTAGCAGGATGGCTCAGCTGTAAAAAAAAAAAAAAAAAAATTCTTCCTTTTTTGTCCTCCAAACTCTCTATTAAACCTATTTTATCCTCTAGTGACCTTTACTTGAGATTAAAGAGGCGGTGAATAGGCCTGTACATTGAAAAGTGGAGAAAAAATACAGTTGTGTATTCAATAAGTCTACCCCAAATAATTTCACAATATATCATTTATCTAGAAAAATTTTGAATGTATGCAATGATGCTTAATTTTTTCATCCATGTGCCTAGATCTAACCATTCTTTTCTACATACTAATAGGGACCCATAATCAAATAAAGCAAACAAAAGCATGAAGCCACTTTAAGGACAAGATTACAATTCAATATTAATTGCAATGATCAAGTTTAAATATGTAACTAAAAAATTGTCTAAGTTAGCATTAGTGCAATTTGTCCTCCAAATCCATGTTCAGGACATTTTTATGTATTCCTCTTAACATTATATATCCAACTAGCAAGTTAAACTCTTAGGCAGCATGCCTTTCCAAAAATTAGAGTGGATTTTGTTGACAGAGATATTAGCTTATCGATTGTTATCCAATTCCATCAGCTGGAGAAAGACATTTAATTGTTCAAACACTACTTTCCATATACTTTATTCACTTTTTTATAAAATCACATTCCATTACCTTCAAGCGGAGGCTGGCCTGTGGTTGCAACTGTAGAGCAAGAGGAGCCTCACACACCACACAGATTGGCGTGTTCATGGGAACCAAGCTTCCACATTCTGCACATAAGCCCATCTGCACAAAGAAAGAGGTCAAGTTTTTCTTGTGATCTAAAAATGGAAGGTATAAGTAGACCTTAGAATGTAAGACTTAGTTTGCTTTTGTAGAAAAAAATTTGTAAATAATTACTTTTATTCTTATTTTTTCCTATTAAGAGTAAAACCATATTTCTTGTAGAAAACAGAGATGTAAAAAAAAAAAAAAGGAAAAGGAAAAGAAAAAAAATCTTCCCACATGGTGGAGTAAGGAAGTCAACAATCCTCTCCCCTAAAAGCAATTATAAAGTTGAATAAAACTGTCAAAAAAACCACAATTATTTCAGACTCTGAAAGTCAGCTGAAGACAGACAACAAACTGAAAAGAACTGAACTTCAAATAAGAACACAAGTCTGTGTGGTTCTAGCATGAAGCCACTCACATCCTTCTCTAGCTTTATTAGCTTGGTAACTCCTCCAGGGCAGGGCCGGCTATAAAAATCAGAAGCTTTGTGACTGCTGATGAACATGGCTCACTTGATTTAGAGCATTTCTAAGGTGACTACTTCAGTGGCAAGCAAACAGGGAGGGCCAGTGGCTCCACTATCTTGAGACTGTGGTCCTGTTTGAGGCAATCAATGGACCAGCAAGTAGCCAGGAATTTAACAGGGAGTTAAATTCAACTATATATAGTAAGTCAACTATAGGAGACTAGATAAACACTCCACATACCCTTAGTTGACTGGAGGTTATATGCATGTGCAGCATAAACCAGAGTGGGTCCAAGCCACCCAACATCCCTGGATGCACATGGAGATTCAAGAGAGCTCAGCATAAAGTAAAAGCTGGGCAGGCTTGAAGACAGACGGAAATTTGAATGTTCTATGCCCACACATAGATCCATCAACACAGACTGAAAGCCTTACTTATTTGAGCACAACTTCTGACCAATCTTCAGTTAAACACTAAGTTATACACAGCCAAGGGTGATCCCAGGCTTACAAGTAAAAATAAGGGGGAAAACCCTGATATTATTGGCCAGAAACTGCAGGAGAAATAAACATGAAGATTTAATCCCAGCAAAGAACAAAACAAGAACACATGGAGAAAAGTGAAAATCCAGAGTTATAATATATTATCTAAAATGTCCAAAATTAAAAAATAATTGAGACATGTTCCCCTTCCTCCACAAAAAAAACAAAGTGTGATCCCAACTCAGGGAAAAAACCCCAAAAAACCAGTTAATAGAAATGGTCTTTGAGTATCCCAAGATACTGAATTTAGCAGACAAAGATTTCAAAACAGCTATTATAAAAATGTTCAAAAAACTAAAGGAAACAATGTTTAAAAAATTAAAGAAAATATGATAACAATGATCTGAAAAATAGGGAATCTCAATAAAAAGAAAAAATTATTCTAAAAGAAGCAAGCCAAAACCTGGAGTTGAAAAGTAAAATAATTAAAATTTAAAAATTGCCAGAGGAACTCAACAGCAGATCAGACATAACAGGAGAATCAGTGAACTTAAATATAGTTCAATAGAAATTTTCCAATCTGAAAAACAGAGAGATAAAAGATTGAAGAAAATAAACAGACCATCAAGACCTGTGGGGAAACACCCCAAATACAGAAATACATGTAATGGGAGTCCCAGAAGGGGAGGAGAAAGAGAAAGGGGAAGAAAAAGAATTTGAAAAATGGCCAAAAACTTCTCATATTTGAAAAAAAAAATCCATCTACAAGTCAAATTTAATCATCCTCAAGAAAAATAAACACAAAGAGATATACACTTAGACCAATTATAGTCAAACTATTAAATGTCAAAGACAGAAAGAAAATCTTGAGAGTAGCAAGAGAAAAAACTATGATATGCATCAAAACTATGGAGGCAGTAAAAAAAAAACCTATGGAAGCAGTAAAACAACATGTTCAAGGGGCTGAAATTAAAAATAACTGACAAACAAGAATTCTGTATCCAGTAAACCTGCCCTTCAAAAGTTAAGGTAAAATAAACATTCTAAGATAAACAAAAACAGAGAGAAATTGCTAACAGACATGCCTTTAGTAAAGGAAGTCCTTCAGGCTGAAAGTAAGTCACACTAGATGATAACCTGAGTTCATAATAAAGAAATAAAGAAATGACAGATCAGATATAATAAGTGTGTGGGTAAATGTAAATGATTCCATAAACATTAAAAAAAAATTTTTTTAAGATTTTTTATTGGGACATTAGGGATGGGAACAGCGCTGGGGAATTGGGGGAAGGGAAACAGACAAGTTCTTCAGTCTAGCTGTGGAGGACGTTGCTTCACTGGCCCAAGTTGGCACCATCACTGTGCTCTTCCCGGGCGAGGCAGATCAGTTGCTGGCCTCTGGACGGCCACTCACTGCGGCTGCTGGCCGCTCTCGCTGGCTGCCGTCTACACATGGTAGCTTATGGCAACCCATTGCAGCAGGTGCTACGGCCTACGCCGACGCCGGTGACTCACGGCAGCACAGCTCCAGGTTAAGCTGTTGTTCAGCATCTTAGCTGTAGAGGGCAGTGTCACTGGCCCTCATATGTGGGATCTGAACCGGGGCCCTCTGGAGTCCCAAGTCAGCTCTTAACCAACGCGCCACTCAGCCGGCCCTTGATGAAGGTTTTGATTTTTAGTAAGCCACCTATGTTTTCTAACTAACTACAAACTTAGTGGTAGGATAATATCAATTATTATCTACCTTAGCCAAAACATTTTAATTTAGATACACTGATTAATCTATATCCTATTTAACAGAGAAGTTAAATGATCTGTTCACAGATATGATGATCTTATATGTAGCCATATATAACAGCTTCTTTGGACAGAATGATGTATCTTATGGATATATATATATATATATATATATATATACCTATAATTAGTACTTCTTGTCATTTATTTCTAGAATATATTTCTTTATTGTATCCAGGTTTTGAACAGAAATATTATATGAGTAGAAAATATGTATTTACCCATGCACACTTCATTAAAACAATAAGATTTCAGTCTCTTTCTGAGCTTATGCTTTGCAAGGCCACAGAAAAGAAATGGCATTGCAAACAAGTTTTTTTCATTCCTAAATAGGTGTCTGGATAATAAGAAATTAACCTTCCGGTAATTTTTCAACAAGTATTCATGTTTGTAGTTTGTGTATGCCAGGTACTGTGCTACTGCTGCAAATAAAGATGAGATAAACCACTAAAAAAAGATTTTAAGGATTCTGCTGCTCACCTGAGCTCCTTCTGGGGGTGGGAGACGACAGCCAAATATGGGTGGGACAGGTGAGCCACATTCTTGACAGAAGCGAGCAAAGGGATCAGATGGGCGGGGGGCAAGGCAGTGTGCACACCTATAACAAAAGAGGTTCTTAATTGGCCATGTTCTGATAGGTTTACATTAAGAAGTCAAGTGAATATCTAAAAGTATTCAAACATTTAAAAAAAATAAAATAAAAAACAAAGAACAGAATACTCTCAAAGACTATGGAATAAGATCAAGATGGACGGTGCTTCTCTAGTCATTTTATTATAAAGTGACCTCACAGCTGGAACCACTGGTGCCCTTCACCTGTAGGCCAGACCCATCTAAGTTTATCAGCAGCCTTGATCCCACTTCTTAGTAGGGCTCTCTTATTTGTCCTATCACATTTGACATGTATGAGGGTGAGCCTTGGGAATTCCAGTAACGTCTACGTTGCATTTTTTTTTTTTAGCTTAGCCATCCTGCCACCTGTTGGCAGCTCAGCGGCAGCTCAGCTCGGGCCAGGAATCGAACCGCTTTTGTTCAGACTTAAAATTCTTGAGCAAGCTCTTAACCAACTGAGCCACTCGGCTGGCCCTACGTTGCCTTTTTATGACTTCCTACCTGAGCACTGAGCCCAGTCTGAGTGATGCTGGAGGGTCACTGTTAGTCAAGCCCTGTCTTTGTCTTCACTCATCTGGGTCAGAGTCCCAAAGCCTTGCCCCAGCAACATCTGACCAAATTTCTTGGGAAGCTGGATCCCATCAATTAGTTTTCATCCACCTAACTGGATTCTGGATATCAGTCAAAGTGAAAGCATTAACAAAATTCAACATCCTTTCATGTAAAAAGAAAAAAAATTCCATAAACTAAGAACAGAAGGAAACATTCTCAACATGATAAAGGCTACATATGGAAAAACCCACAGCTAACATCATACTCAATGGTGTAACACTGAAAGCTTTTCTTTCCCCTAAGTTCAAGAACAAGACAAGGATAACCACTTTCTATTTAACATAGCGTTGGAAGTTCTAGCCAGGGCAATTAGGTAAGAAAAGAAATAAAAGGAAAAAGGTAAATTATCTCTGTTCACAGATATAATGATCTTATATGTAGAAAACCTGAGAATACACACACATAAGTAAACTGTTAGAACTAATAAATGAATTCAGGCAAGTGATAGGGTAAAAAAAAAAAAACCTAACAAAAAAATCCATTGTATTCCTAAGAACAATTTGAGAAGAAAATTAAGGAAACAATTCCATTTATAATAGCATCAGAAAGAATAACATACTTAGGAATAAATATAACCAAGGAGCTGAAAGACTTGTACAATGAAAACTACTTCTCTGAAAGAAATTAAAGAAGACATAAATTAAAGGAAAGATGCCCTGTGTTCATGAATCAGAAGGCTTAATATAGTTAAGATAAAAATACTGCCCAAGGCCGGCAGAGTGGCTCAGCTGGTTAAGAGCTCGCTTGGGAGCGCCAGCTCTGAGCAGCAGGGCTGCGGTTCGGATCCCACATTGAGGGCCAGTGACACTCGCCCTCTACAGCTAAGATGATAAACAGCAGCTCCACCTGAAGCTGGGCTGCTGTGAGTCGCCGGCGACGGGCGGTGTAGGCTGCCGTGAGCTACGTGAGTGGCTGGCAGCCGGCGTGAGTGGCCGAGAGCCGCTGTGAGCGGCTGAACAATGACTGGCAACCGATTGCCTCATCCAGGAAGAGCGCAATGATGGTGCCAACATGGGCCGGTGAGGCAACGTCCTCCACAGCTAGACTGAAGAACAAAAGGACAGAAACTTGTCTGTTTCCCTTCCCCCAATTCCCCAGCGCTGTTCCCCTCCTCCCAGTCCCCCAATAAAATCTTTAAAAAAAAAAATACTGCCCTAAGCAATCTACAGATTCAATGCAATCCCAAACTCCCAACGACATTTTTTTGCAAAAAGAAAAACTCATCCTAAACTCATTATGGAATCTCAAGGAACCCCCAGTAGCCAAAACAGTCTTTAAAAAAAAACAACAAAGTTGGAGGACTCACACTTCCTGATTCCAATGTTTGCTACAAATCTATTAAAAGCAGTGTTGTTCTAGCATAAAGACAGACATAGAGACCAACAGAATAGAATAGAGAGTCTAGAAATAAACCCTTGCACATATGGTCAAATGATTTTTGAAAAGGATGCTAACACCTTCAAGACTGCCTTTCAACAGTGGTGCTGGGAAAAATGGATATCCACATGCAAAAGAATTAAGTTGGAACCTTGCTTATGCCATATACAAAAATGAACTCAAAATGGTTCAAAGATCTGAATGTAAGAGGTAAATCTATAAATCTCTTAGAAGAACACATAAAGGACAAGCTTCATGACACTGGATTTGGCAATGATTTCTTGGCTATGATACCAAAAATCACAGGCAATAAAAGAAAAAAACAGATAAACTGCACTTGATCAAAATTAAAAACTCTGTATCAAATGACACTATCAAGGGAATGAAAAGACAACCAATAAATGGGAAAAAATATTTCCAAATCATATATCTGATAAAGGATTAATATCCAGAATATATAAAGAACTCCTACAACTTAACAACAAAAATAAACAATCCATTCAAAAATGAGCAAAAGACTAATTGACATTTCTCCAAAGAAGACATATAATTGGCCAAGAACCATATGAAAAGATGCTCACTATCTCTTGCCATTAGGGAAATGAAAATCAAAGCCACAATGAGATGCCACTTTTTGTTATTAGGATGGCTATTATAAAAAAAAATGGAAAATGAGAGTTAGCAAGGATGTTTAAAAATTTGAAATACTTGTGCATTTCTGGTGAAAACATAAAATGATGCAGCTCTGTAGAAAACTTTGGCAGGTCCTCAAAAAGCTAAACATAGAATTACCATATAATCCAGAAATTTCACTCTTAGGCAAATACCCAAATGAATTGAAGGCAGAGACTCAAAATAAATTGTACACCAATGTTCACAACAGCATTATTCACAATAGTCAAATGGTAGAAACAACTCAAATATCCATCAATAAATGACTAGATAAACAAAATGTGGTATATACATACAATGGAGTATTATTTATGTTTAATAAGGAATGTAGTTCTGATATATGCTACAACATGGATGAACCTGGAAAACATGCTAAGTGAAATAAGTCAGACACAAAAGGACAAATATTGTCTGATTCCACTTACAGGAGGTAACTAGAATAGGCAAATTTATAGAACAGAAAGTAGAGTAGAGGTTACCAGGGATTGCAAGGAAAGGATAATGTGGAGTTATTGTTTAAGGGGACTCAAGTTCTATTTAGAATGATGAAAAAGTTCTGGCAATGGATAGTGGTGATGGTTGCACTACATTGTGAATGTACTTAGTGCCACTAATTTTTACATTTAAAATGATAAATTTTATTTATGCATATTTTGCCACAATAAAAAAGTATAAAGGACCTCAAAAATAACTGATTATATGAAATAAAAGTAATAATGTATTGTGGGGTTCATAATACTTGTAAAAGTAAAATGTATGACCACAATAACACAAAGGCTATTGGTATTCAATTATTGGAAATATATTGTCATAAGGTTCTTATGTTAAATATCAAGTAGTATAATACCACTTGAAGATAAAATGTGATAAGTTAAAAACATACTTATATTATAAGCCCTAGAGCAACCACTTAAAAATAGTTATAGCTAATAGACCAACAAAGGAGATAAAATAAAATGGAATCATAAAACATACCCAATTAATCCAAAAGAAGGCATAAAACAAATAAAATGCAACAAAGCATAGATAAGACTAACAAAACAAATAGCATGTCGGTTGCTTTAAATTCAAACATATCAATAATCAGAATAAACATAAATATTCTCAACACTTCAATTAAAATGCAGAGATTGTCAGGTGTGATTTTTAAAAGAGCAAGACCTAATTCGATGCTGTTTTTAAAAATCCAACTTTATAGAGAGACACAAATAGGTTAAAAGCAAAAGGATGAAAGATTTTACGTGCAAACACTAATTTTAAGAAAGGAGGACTACATTAATATTTGACAAAACAGATTTCTGAGCAAAGACTATTACCAGGGTTGAAGGTTATTTCATAGGGATAAAGGGGGGTCAATTTAACAAGAGGACAAAAATCCAACAGGTTTATATACTTTATAATAGAGCTTCAAAGTACATACATGAAGCAAAAGCTGATAAAAATGCAATGATAAGTAGACAAATACACAATTATAATCATAGATTTCAACATACTTTCTCAATAGTTGGTTAAACAATAGACAAAATCAATGAAGACAGAGACAATTTAAACAATACTCGCAACCAACTTAACCTAATTGACATTTATAGAACACTCACCCTAGCAAAATACAAATTCTTTTCAAGTGCACATGAAACATTTACCAATCAAATCATACAATATATGTTCTCTAACCAAAAAGGAATTAAATCGTAAATAAACACCGGAAGACATAAGGAAAATCCCCAAATATTGGGAAAATTAATAAAACACTTCTAAATAGCTCATGGGTCAAAAAGAAATAACAAGGATAGTTAGAGACAGTTTAAACAAAATAAAATGAAAACACAATGTATCAAAAGTTGTGGGCTTCAGCTAAAGCAGTACTCAGGAGGAAATGCCTATATTAGAGCTCTATAACTAAAATTTGAAAAGAAAAGCTTCAAATGAATGGCTTCATCTTCCTCATTAAAAAAATTAGAAAAAGAAGAGCAAATGAAACTCAAGGTTCATTCAAAAAGAAATATTGGGTCATCAGGAAAGTCATGACGCATTTTTGCATTGAAAAACATAGAAAAAACGTCATGACTTTCCTGATGACCCAATAGATAAACATGAATAGACATATCTATTAAAGAAATTAAATAATGTGTAGTTTTAAAATTGTCCTTAAAACTCTGGACCCCAGTGCCTTCACTGGTAAATTCTACCAAACATGTAAGGAAAAAAATACCAATTCTACACAAACTTTTTCCAAAAATTGAAGAAGAGAGAATACTTCTCAACTCATTTTATGAAATCAGAGTTATCCTGATACAAAATCTAGACAAAGGTATTACAAGGCAA